TCTCGACAATATGCGTTTTTGCTGGCTGTAGCGCTATAGCGCTGCACAGCAAAAACGCATAAAAAGCATAATCGCACGGGCCTGCCCGGTGCGTTCCAGCCTAGGTTTGCATTGCATAGATGCAAAAAAACGCATAAAAATATTGTTTTGACAGCAGTTCTTTGCCATCGGAGTTTTTTTTGAAAAAACCAGGTGCTATTTTTTGATCATTACTGTGACCGAAGCTGAATTATCTTGTTGATTCTAGCTTTCGCTCCTTGCTTTTTTCCGTTCCTGAAATTTGAAAGTATCTTACTTTTCTTTTTCATAGCGTCATTATTCTTCACTCCTTTTTCAGATACCTGGCGAAGAAACTGACCAATGGATTTTTGAACGGATGAAGAGGTTGATCCAGCGAGCCATGGAACTCGGCGTCCCCGTCACAACTTCGAAGGTGGCTTCGAGAGCTGGCTCACCGCAGCAACGACCTGAAGTGGTAATTTAAAAATTTTCTGATGCGTTTCGAAATAGTAAGACTTCTAAAAACCGACATTTGGAAAAACCAGGCGACAGTGCTGGATAAAACAAACTATTTCAGGTTACGAGTTTGGCTCAGGCACAAGCAATTGTGGAAGCGGCAGCTGCTGCAGCTGGTCCTTCTGGTATCAGCTCACAGCCGAGTACGAAATCGGAAAAGAGAGAAAGAGGATCAAGGCCTACCACAAAAGCTTCGCGTGACTCAGCCGCTGCTTCTCCTGCTCCTGAAGATTCAAAGGCAGCAGCAGAACCTGTTGCTAAACGAAGCTCGGCATCAGAAGCTGCTACTCCAGAAACAGCCTCCAGTACGATGCGATTTACTGATATGATTAATATTTTTTCTCTTAAGCATCGCATCCTTTAAACAATTTTACTTTCGTAATTTAAAGCCTATTCATACAGGTTTTATAACAGGAAGACAAAATTGTTTACAGGGTTTGACTATTTTTATAAGAAAGAACTTGACCAGCAGGTAGATTTTGCAAAGCACCACAATAAAAATGTGTAACATTCTTGATTTGGTGCTATATGTTTCAGAAAAGAAATCAGTTACATCAAAAGCGTCTTCTCGGAAGTCATCAATTGCTTCTAATGCTGAACCTTCGGTCAAAGCAAATCAGGTATTATACTACAGAACAATACTTCTTATAAAATTTGAAACATTCTGCATGATCCGGAAGTGAGGTTTTTGAGAAACTGGACTTTTCGAAAGTTTCAAAAATCGCGGTATTTTTTTATTTGTACGGAAGCGGATCAAAACGAAAGACAAAATCATTGTAGGCAGAGAAAACTACCTCGGAAACTGCGGTCGCGGTTTCGCCAATAACTGATGCTGAATTGTGTGAAAAAACTAAAACAGCTACTGCGACAATTGGTGAGACTTGTTCTTGTCCCTGAAAAAGTTAATTTAACTTTTGTCATGAAAATCAACGTTTCCCAGAACGGCGGTGATGCGCAATGTGAAATTACCATCCTGCAGCTCGTTGCCAAAATGAGCTGATGTTTATCTCGCCCAAAAAGCGGATCTCCAGCGAATTCTGTACCTCGAGTTCCTGAACTGCCGAGCTGAAATGCACGGACAGGCGCACACACATATACACACACTCATGAATACACACACACACACACCATAGTTCGTCACAATATGCATGTTTGTATTTGCATATATGCAAAAACGCATAATACGGTAACGCCGGGGTTCTCAGTCAGAAAGGTGATATTTGCTGTTATGGAAGCAGCAACGAATTTATGTCAAATTACTTTAAGCGGTTGATCAGATAGCGGGCTTCAGTTGAGTGGAAGACAGAGACAGGGTTGCCGAAGTATTCAGTGAGTGACTTATAGGATATCGGTGAGAGGTTGGGAAAATGAAAATCCACTTTTCTCCGATCAGTGCATTTTACGCATTATTTGGTGATGTTCAAAACAAAACACAATTGGTCGAGTAGTCTTCTGAAAAAGCAGTACGCATGCGTGGCAGACAGGCAAACACGAGCTAAAAACAACATCTTACGGTCAAAAAACTGATATTTTTTACGCGGGAAACATAACTGCATTTAAGCAACAAACGTAACTCTGCACTGATAGTACAAGCTATCCTACAGTCTAAAAGGTAAAAGGTTCAAATTTTTGAAGAATGAAAAAACCATTTAGTGTCGATTTCCGACTTTCAAAGCATCTGCAGTAATCCCTACCGATTCAAAAAAAGCATTAGAAATTACAGTATTGTAACATGAAGTGAGGCTGGCATAATTTTTTTAGAAGCGGTGGCTACAGTACATCCGGTGCCGGTAACGCCGATCTCTCAAACAACCGAAGCTCTGTCGCGTGCATCCAGACCTGCAAGTAATTCTACAATTTTGAGGATATAAAAACAACAATAATCTTGATGGCTTTTGTAGTTCTATCACTTTGAATTAAAGCTACGAATCTTTGATAACACTTTCTTTTCTTGGAAGAAGATGACATTTTTTGCGGTACTTTGAGGTACCAATAATTCTCTTTTCCTGGTATTTCGTGGAAAGAAACCAGTAATGAGCTTCCAACGTGCTGCGCGTTTTGAAAGTAATTTACCCAAGACAAAGATCTCTGCCAACAGCGATTTGAACCGGGGACAGTTTGTTTAGTCTTAAATTAATGAAATTTGCAAGAGATCGTCACGGAGTAGCAATAGAAAGAGAAATCATGCTTCCCTAAGAATCGAAAAAGTTTCGCTTTTCGAAATTAGCATGTCGACGAAATTATTATCAAGAAAACGGTGGGATTTTCGAACTGCTACCTCATTCTCGCCACCTCACCGAAGTAGCGAGAAGAGTGAGGTAACACAATTTTGGTTCGAAGATGGAAAATTAACTGGACAGCCACGCACAGAATGTTTGAAGAATTGAAACTGTAGCCCGTTTTTCGAGATAAAGTCAAATTGAAGGATAAATATATTAATAAGCAGTAATCGATGTCAGGTAGGATGAGTAACAGACGAGCATCGATGAAATCGAGCAGAACTGCATCTCAGGCTTCCAAACGCTCCGAAAGATCAGTGAAATCGACGCATAGTAACAAGGCTGAGGGCAAGTTTTTTCATCAGTTAATTCAGCAACTACTAAAACTCGCCTCGGCATGGCCTGGATGTGTTATGCATTGCGTGCAGTAAAGAGACACCACAGCGTGTCGTGTGCGATGTTTTTCGAAGCGATGGGCAACACTCCCTGAGCGCTAGATAACGTTTCTCCGAGCTTTGGATAAAGCAGTTTTGAGGGGATTGATAGAAGGGAAGGACAGTGTGGTTTAGCCGTGAAGACTCGGGGTAGGGAAGGGCTGGGTATCGAAGCGCCCAGTTCAGAACTAAGTTTTTCAGATGATACCGAAAATTTACTAACAGATTTCGCGTAATTACACTCAAGAGAATCAAAGCTTTTGTGAAAAGAGCATAGTTTGGTCTGACTTTTGGAATTGTACCTCTTAGTATCAATTCTGCTTTTTAGAAGCATCAGAGAACCGGCCGGAGACCAGTGACGCTGCTCGGGAGAGTAAGTTGCGCGAAGATGAATCCGCTCAGGATGCTGACTCGCAGTCTTCAGCTGGCACTCCCGGCCCAGCTGGAAGTATCGCAGGTAGCTGTTTTATTTCGTCAATTACACCTTGCGTTTTGAAGCCATTTAGTTGTTTCTGAAATGTCTATTTGTTCCAGCACAGCTAGCCGGGAGTCGGACGCCATCCTCACCAAGATCCACAGCCATACCGTCAGATGATCGCTTTCCACGCGGGTTGCCCAATAACGCACCGGTTATTGTTATCGTTGGTACGCATTCGAAACAACTATTTTCTGTCATTTCAAAGATGGCGCATAGATTTGAAACTTCTTTTGCAAATCTTATAAAAGCTTGCGCAGTTTTTTCGTGCCACAAATTGCGGATTTTTGGCATTCCTAGTGTATGTAACATAGCTCAGTAAATTGTTAACGCTAGTTAGCAAGTTTTTCAGGAGGTCCAGGATCAAATAAAGCTGAGATTGCCCGGCGCATTGCAAAAAAATACGATGGTTTTGTATTATTCAGCATGAGCGATTTACTAAGGAAGGAAGTAGAAGCGAATGCAAATGATGAACTCTGGCAACGAATTAAGAAGAAAATGGACCTTGGAGAACCGGTTCCAACGGTATCAATTTTTAGCGCCCTTTAATGTTTCGCATTTGGTCTTGGCTATTTACTATGTAAGCTCAACCACTGGTACTTGTAGTACCAAACTTCTATTACTTCAGCTCTTTCGTGCCTGGTTTTGGTCATCACATACTTCTTTAAATTAAAAAGTACTCTTAGACATATGGTGCGCCATGAAAAAAAAGCTGAAGAAAGCACCAATATTTCAAAAAGTGAAAAACTCCGATTTGGAAAGTATTCTAGAAAATCACTGCATGCTATACCTGGCAAAATTCGTAAAGATGAAAAATTCCACTTACGGAAATCTGATTTTGCATGCCGTTACTGATGGTTCAGTGCGCCTCTAACTCACTCCTTTGCTAAAGATGGTATCAGTGATAGATGTACTAGCAAGTGAACTTTACATTCCTTTATGGAATGTTAAGCAGGGAGAAAATTCGGAGTAAGAATGATTGTTATTCTAGAAGATTTGTCGCGAACTACTGTATTCGGCATTATACGGTGTGGGCAGCACAAGCTGGGGCTATGTTGTCGAAGGTTATCCGCGAGCACAAAATCAAATTGTCGATTTTGAAAATCAGGTACTGTTTACTTGAAAATATGCTTAAAAGGTGCTTGAAGAAATTGTTTGTTATTAAAATAAGTCGGAAATTTTTTGTTTTATTTTTAAGGGGAAATTATATGCTTTTTATGCGTTTTTGCTTATAAGCAAATTGCAAAAACGCATATTGTGACGACCCTATCTGTGTGTTTATGTTTGTGTGCTTGTGTGTGTGTGTGTTCATCTGTCCGGGTATTTCAATTTGACAACCAAGCAAGCTTCGGTGCCAAAATTTTGCTCGTGGGTTCCCCGGCCAAATGCCACCCCAGGACGGCGGCATCAACCTTCATGCAAGTCTGGGCGCCGCGTACGGGAGGTGAAAGTTTTGGTGGGAAAATTGCTAACTCGGGAACGAGAAAAGCTAGAAACTTGAAATTTTGAAATTATGTCCCCCTTCCTCACAGAAATCAAAGGTTTCGAATTCAGCTCCCGGGAGCGCATGGTTCCCGCTTTCGGCCCCGTGAGAGTTCTTGGCGCAAAAATCGCCAACTTTTGGACCAGAAAAACTGGGAAGCTCAAATTTTCAGGGAATGTTCCCAGCTCATGTACAACTTAAAGCTATCGAATTCAGGCCCCAGGCATGCATGGCTGTCACGTACGACCTTGTGAAATTTTTTGACGGGAAAATGATTAGCTCAGGAAAAAGGAAAGCTAGGAAGTTGATATTTTAAGAGGATGTTTCCAGCCCGTGTACAACTTAAAGTTTTCAAATTCAGCTCCAAAGCGTGGGTGGTTCTCAGGTACGGCCTCGTGAAATTTTTTAGGGAGAAACTAACTCGGAACCAGGAAAGCTGAGAAGCCGAAATTTTAAAGAGATATTTCCAGACCCCTTCCCCTCCCGCTCTGCACAACTTAAACATTTTAAACTCAGCCCCAGGTATGGTTTTCAGGTCACATTCGACCCTGTGAAAGTTTTGGCAGGAAAATTGCTAACTCAGGGACCAGAAAAACTGGAAAGCTGAGATTTGAGGAGAATATTCTCCGCCCAAATACAACTTAAAAGTTTCAAATTCAGCCTCCAGGTACTCGTGGTTCTCGTGTGCAGGCACTTAAATTTTGGTGGGGAAATTATTCATTTGGACAGCTGGGTTATTTTCAAACCCAGTCTAGAACACACCAGGCTCTCCGGTGCGAACATGCGTTTTTGCACTAAACTCGCAGATCCCTATTAGCAGGAACGACCCCTACGCTTTAGCCTAACACGTGAGCTAATATTGGCCGTGCTTTGATCCTTTCTCGCATGCAGGAGGAAGGACGTCAGTTGGGATGAAGGTGGTGAATTATAGAGCCGCATGGACATCCAGGAGTATGATTACCGGTTTTTCGCATGAAGTTCAGTCGTTTTTTCGGTAAATGCTCGCTTTGTGAAAAAATGACAAATGCAAATTTTT